TACAGCAAAAACCTCGCCAAAAAAAAAAAAAAAAGAATTATTTTATTAACTCTATTTATTTGTTTACTTATTTTCATTTGGCCAGAGAGGGAGAGAGAGAGATAGTGAGAAAGTGAGAAAGTACGCTGCCAGGTCCAGGACTTGAACCACGGTCAGCATGTGGGAGTCCAGCACCCTTAACCACCATGCCACCTGCCGGCCCCTCACATTTTATTGTTAAAGTTTCTCTCTAATTAATTTAAATTAGCAATAAAAGGTATCCTCCTGCTTGTCCAAATCAGAAAGACATACTTTCTTACCCACCCCCAGTGGGCCAGCTGTGGGTGTGGTGGTTAAGGAGGCTGATTGCACATGACTGACTGCATAGTTCGAATCCCAGACCCAGTACCTTGGAAGGTTGCAAAACGTCTGCCCAAGCGCAGTGGAGGTGGCAGAGTTCCAGCACAGCTTCTTCCTGGCTGGATGCCGGAGAGGCCCACAGTGGGACAGAGACGCTGGAGTCAAACCGGTCGATCAGGGTGAAATTCTCAGACGTGACACAATTCACAACATGAACACAGAACCCAGCCCCAGGGTTGCTCCCCATCACGCGGGGCCTCCAAGCCCCAGGGTCATGGCCCCCCGATCCCCCCCGGGCCTGCCTGCACCAGCTGCTGATGAAGGGATGCTGGGGTCTGCCCTCTCCCCAAGGTGTCACGCGCCTGTCAGGTCACCGTCAGCCTGCAAGTGCATCTCCAGCCCAGGGGGTGACTCTGGAAATACCCCCATGTCAACAAGACTAAACAACCTCAGCCACCCTAAAGGCTGCGGGTCTCCTTGCACCCTCCTGTGGGGAACAGCTGAGCATCCCCGGCTGCTAACGCTGAAGCTCCGGCCTCTCCTTGCTCCCACCTGCCTGCCTGCCCACACAGGCCCGTCCCTGTCCCTTCAAAGTTCTGAGGACCTTGCTCCTCCCTCCTGGTAAGACATTCTGCTTCAAACCGTGACCTTTACCTCCTAGCGTGTCTCCTGCTCGCAGATTAAAGCCAGGCTCGGATGCACCCGGGCTGCCAGGCCCTGCAACTGCTCAGGCTGTCTGGGGAGGCCCCGCTGAAGCTGGCCAGCCCCGGCCTGGCTGTGGTCCCCACAGCACTTCCTGAGGTCTTTCCGTAAGAATCGCGGGCCAGGGCCAGCAGGCGGTGTGGCACCTGTGCGTCTGCGTCTAGTGGGAAGGGCCTTCAGGAATAAGGAGGCACCAAGACATTTTCAGAGAAACAAACACTGGCAAAATCGGTTAC